GACTAAAAGGCATGCACCAAACCATGGCCGGTCTAATTTATATATATATATATATATATTTTTTTTTTAGTTGGTCATTTAATTTCTTTTCTATTTTTAGTAGAGACGGAGTCTCGCTCTTACACGGGCTGGTTTCGAACTCCTGACCTTGAGCAATGTGCCCACCTCGGCCTCCCAGAGTGCTAGGATTACAGGCGTGAGCCCGGCCCAATGTTCTTTTTTGTGAAAGTCGTGCTCTGTCCTCCCAGGTAGATGCAGTGGCATTATTCACAGCTTCACTGCAATCTCAAACGTCCTGGCTTCAGCAATCCTCCTGCCCTCACCCTCCCAAATAGCTGGGACTAAGGTCATGCATCACCATGCTGGCTAGGTTTTTCTGATTTTTTATTAGACTCTTGGTCTCAACTCTTGCTCAGGTGGTCTTGAACTCCTGACCTCCAGGCCAGTCTTCCCACCTCAGTCTCCAAAATGCTAGGATTGATAGGTGTGAGCCAAGCACCTGCTATACTTAATATTTTGTTATGCATCATGAGTAGTTGTGTGGTTTAACTTTTTTAGAATTAATATAAAATAGATATTGCTAGATCCAGATTGTGCACATTTTAAGGTTTCGATATAATACCCTTTTTTTGGTAAACAAAGTACCAATAGTTTTGCATTCCTACCAGTAGTAATTTGAAAATGTTTTTTACTATGCCCCTTTCCTGTATGGTTTTCATTAATTATTTTGCCCCATTGGTTGGAAAACTGTTATCTTATGTTTGTTTTTTTTTTTTTTTTTTTGAGACAGAGTCTCACTGTATTACCGTGGGCTAGAGTGCCGTGGCATTCAGCTAGCTCACAGCAACCTCAAACTCCTGGGCTCAGGTGATCCTCCTGCCTCAGCTCCTGAGTAGCTGGGACTACAGCATGCACCACCATGCTGGATAATTTTTTACATATATATTGTTTAGTTTTGCAATTAATTTCTATTTTTGGTAGAGACGTGGTCTCCGCTCTTGCTCAAGCTAGTTTGAACTCCCTGACCTTAAAGCCAATCCTTCCCACTCGGCCTCCAGGGCTAGGATTATAGGCATGGGCCACCGTGCCCAGCCTTGCATTTTTTTTTTTTTCCCAAGTACCTGATGCTGATCTAACATTTTTTATTATTAGTAAAGTTGAATATCTTTTCATATGTTTATTGACTATTTGTATTTCTTTTGTAAATGTATGTTCTTTGCTCATCTTTCTATTAAAGTGTTATTCTTTTTTTTTTTTTTTTTTTGAGACAGAGTCTCGCTTTGTTGCCCAGGCTAGAGTGAGTGCCATGGCATCAGCCTACTCACAGCAACCTCCAAACTCCTGGGCTCAAGCGATCCTCCTGCCTCAGTCTTCCCGAGTAGCTGGGAACTACAGGCATCGCGCCACCATGCCCCGGCTAATTTCTTTCTATATTATATTGGCCAATTAATTTCTTTCTGTTTATAGTAGAGATGGGGTCTCGCTCTTGCTCAGGCTGGTTTCGAACTCCTGACCTCAAGCAATCCTCCTGCCTCGGCCTCCCAGAGTGCTAGGATTACAGGCGTGAGCCACCGCACCCGGCCTAAAATGTTATTCTTTATCTGCTTTTATTTTAAAATTCATTTTGTGCATATAATTATATACAAATATTACCTTTACTCTTTAATCATTCTACTTTAGGGTAATATTTCTCAAGACCTGCCTTATGGAGCACTTATAACCTGAGGTAATCATCAGAATGTATATCTTTCTCCAGCATTCAGATTTCTTAGTCCTGCAGGAAGTCCATCAGTCTGCTACACTTTATAAAATAGAGAACTGCTATTTTTGGAGAAATGAAATTCTTAAAATAATATCTATATTTGCCTGTTTTCTTTTTGTCTCAACTGAATTCCATTGTTTTTTCCTTTTAATAATCAAACTACAATCTTGCTATATTAAGATATCTTTCTACCAGCTTACAATAATAGATTATATAAAAGTATCTTGAAATGTGGTAATTGATTCATAGTATATATGAAAGCACTTTTAAAATAAGGTGGGAGCTTACTTGCACGCGAGGCAAAAAGAATCAAGAGGAAAGTCAAATAAAAATAGAGGAGTCGGCAGAAGTATAAGGTGGCATTTCATCTAGTTTAAAAAACCCAGTGAGATATTGCTCCAGTTTCTTCCCTCAAGTCCTTGAGTGTTAGTTTCTTTGGACCATTAATTTGAAGCCCTATAATGGCTTGAAAAAGATTAGTCTAAAATGAAATTTGAAATCTTGATATATACATATTCAATAGGGAGCAATGTTCTCTTTAATGTTTTTTAGTTGTAAGCAGATGAACATGATGCGTAATCTGTAAACTACAAAGATTGAACTTACGTGGATGTTTTAAAACTGTAATCAAATAAAGCTTTCAGCAGTTATTGTTAACATATTTTTTTTTTTGAGACAGAGTCTCACTCTGTTGCCCAGGTTAGAGTACCTGTGGTATCAGCCTAGTTCACAACAACCTCAAACTCCTAGGCTCAACCAATCCTCATGCTTCAGCCTCCCAAGTAGCTGAGACTACAGGCATGTGCTACCATGCCCAGCTAAGTTTTTCTATTTTTAGTAGAGCTGGGGTCTCACTCTTGCTTAGGCTGCTCTCAAACTCCTGACCTCAAGCAATCCTCCCACCTTGGCCTCCCAGAGTGCTAGGATTACAGGCATTTGCCACTATGCCTGGCCAATGGCTTTTCCTTTTTATCATCAAAAGAAAGCTGATAATAATTGGGGAATATCAGATTCCTGATGTTATACATTCATAGTCCTTTTTGTTTTCTGATGGAATGTTAGCCCAGTAACTTAATCTGAAATCAGTTTTCCAAATATTTAATATTGCTATATGGAGAAGTGAATGTGTCCCTTTTCCTACAGGTAGAGCATGAACAGCTGTTGCCATAGACCTGGGCTCTGCCTAGCCTGTAAGACTGTTTACTCCAGTTATGCTAGCCCAGTAGGTCCCTTTTTTCAGTTGAAATACTGCAGATTCCTATAATTAAAAAAAAAAGATAATATCAATAAGAATGCCAAAAACAACTGTTAACCTTTATTTAATGAGCTGCTATATTTTGCTAGGATCTCTTTGGGTTCAGAATCTTTGCTATGTCCTGTAGGTCTGGAACTTCAACTTAAAGCATTTTCATGGACGCCCCTACCTTCAGAAAACAACACACTCACATGATCCTGATAAGAAGCAGATATTTCATTAAGTTATTGAAGAGTAATTGGGAATATGTATCAAAAGTTTATGGCTGGGTGCAGTGGCTCACGCCCATAATACGAAGTTTGGGAGGCTGACGTGGGAGGATCACTTGAGGGCAAGAGTTTGAGGTTGCAGTTAACATTGATTCTGCCACTGCACTCCTGCCTGGGAGACAGAGCGAGATCCTGTTTGGGGAGGCATGGGAGAGTTTTAAATAATGTGCATACCATTTGATTCAGTTGATAGGTGATCTGATTTTTTTTTGTTCAGTATTGAAAATCAGTTTTGACTCATACTAAATTGATCATCACTTACTTGCTTTTCTTACTGCCTCCATTAGGATAGTAGTGTGTGTCTCTTGGCTTGTTGCTTTAATTAGCCAATAAACCAGTCATTCAACTAGTGTTTGTTCTTGTCAGCTAATCAGCACACATTTATAGATTTAGCAGCATTAATTATTCCTACACAAAATAATGTACCATGGGTTCTTTTATAAAATCCCATAGAGTAGCTATAATATTTTTAAACAATTAAAATAGTTTTATTACATGTACGTATTTTTTCTGAAAAAACGGGATATATATACACACTGTTTTGTAAACTGCTTTTTTTTTTGTTTGATTTTTGTTTTTGTTTTGAGACAAAGTCTTGCTCTGTTTTCCTGGGTAGAGTGCAGTGGTGTCATTGTACCTCACTGCAACCTCAAACTCCTGGGCTGAAGTGATCCTCCTGCCTAAGCCTCCTGATGCCCAGCTAATTTTTCTATTTTCAGTAGAGACAGGGTCTCACTCTTTCTCAGGCTGGTCTCCCAACTCCTGAACTCAAGCAATACTCCCGCCTCAGCCTCCCAGAGTGCTAGGATTACAGGCATGAGCTACTGCTCCTGGCCTTAATTTTTTATTTTTTGTTACTGTCTTACTATGTCAATAAGTACAGGTTTATGCTCATCATTTTAGTGACTGTAATATTTCATTATATGGTTGTATCATAATTTAACCAATCCCTTATTGGTAGACTTATAGGTTTCCAGTTTTTTATTGTTATAAACAATGTTCTTTTTTTTTTTTTTTTTTTTGAGACAGAGTCTCACTTTGTTGCCCAGGCTAGAGTGAGTGCCATGACATCAGCCTACCTCACAGCAACTTCAATCTCCTGAGCTCAAGCTATCCTACTGCCTCAGCCTCCTGAGTAGCTGGGACTACAGGCATGCACCACCATGGCCGGCTAATTTTATATAATATATATATATATTATTATTTTTTTTTTTAGTTGGTCATTTAATTTCTTTTCTATTTTTAGTAGAGACGGAGTCTCGCTCTTACACGGGCTGGTTTCGAACTCCTGACCTTGAGCAATGTGCCCACCTCGGC